GTCCTGAACTGGTTGTATTAGCACATTACTACATTCTGTCTGTCCCATCTACAACATGTCTGTCTGTCTCATTCACTGCATGTCAGTGGCAGAGTTCAGTAGAGACAGGAGATAGTATCATTCACAACACCAAGGATGCTGTGGATCTGATTACAGATAAACTTTGCCAGTTCAGTTCTGAGTTGCCCTCACTTCTTTTTGCACTGTGAACCAACCCAAGGGCTTTGTGCTTCTCCCTCATTAGATCAGCCCTTTCAAGGTAAATGTCAACTGAGATTCCCTGCACAGGAGCCAAGCACTGCAAAGGGAGGGGGACTGAAGCTTAGCAAGAAAGTGACTCTTCATTCTCATGTACGGGGCTGGAGCTCACAGCCAAAGCACAGGTCCTGAGTGAGGTCTGCAGACCACAGTGCTTTCCAGCAGAACTATCAGGACTCCACAAAGGGCTTAGGACTCTAAAAGTGGCCAAGACCATCCCAGAATTCCTCATTCTTTTTTTCTGTGTGGTAGAGCCTGAGAACTTGGAGTTCTGTTGTCCATTGCTAGGGAGCCCTGGGGGAACTGATATTGTCCAACTCAGGTGAGCCCTGGGTATACTTACGTTGTCAATATCTGATTAGCCCACTTTGGGGATACCGATGATGCCCATCTCTGGTGAGTTCTGTGGAGTTCAATGTTGCCGTCTCTGGGCTGTGCTTTGGGAAGTCTTGCCACACTGCATCCAGCCCAAGAAGTTGTTGCTAATGTAAAATAGCGCGGAGCAGAGATTTGAATCCACAAATCCTCAAAAGGAAGTTGTTGTAATTTACATCTGTTTAGTAATTTAAGTCCAAAGTGTTCTAAATACCTTGGCCGTGGCCAAGCGCTGTGGCCTTGTGTGATATCTCCCCTGCTGAGCTGTCTGCTGCTGGGGAGCACAGGCCACATGAATGTTGAAAAGCCCATGTATTCTCTTGTGTCCAGCACGTGGGACTGGGGTAGAAATCCACCCTTCTCTGGTGCCTTTCCTCATCCTTTCCAGGAAAACCAGTCTATGGTGACTCTAAATCATAGGATTTTCTTTCAGCACGGTATATGTCAACTCCCTTCCTGTCCTGTGTCCTCATTACTCCATAGTGAAGGATGCCAGCTCTGTTGCTGGAGTTTGCTGTCGTAATTAGGACCTAGTCGGTCTCATATTAAAAAAAAAATCATTACCTAGGGATTAGGAAAAGGAAAAGGCGAAGACTGGAGGAAGATGGTAGCTTTGAACGTTCCAAGTCAGTCATTTGCAGCCTCATTTGAGATTTTAATAAGTGACAGAAAGCCTTGGGAGCCGCTGGTCTGGTCTCTCAGGCTTCCTTTGGTATGGAGCAAGACACGGCTTGCTATACTTTTCTGTCGGCTTTCTCCTGCCTCCCGGGCATTGTGTTTCACGGCTCATTTTGTTCACGAGCGTCCGTGTACCTCTGGCTTCTGTGCCCCTCTCAATCCAGGTGTTGCACGTATCATTAGCTCAAGGTTGAAAGGAACGTTGTTCAGTGCTGGAGTAGGGACCGTCTCACGACTCTATTAAGAGGGAGATAAGACAGCCTTTCAGAGGCCAAGGGTGTTGGCTAGGAAATGCAGGGCTTTGGCCAGGAATGGTTGATTGGCCTTGTGTGCATGACACTGCCAGATGCCACCTCTCTTCTCACAGCTGTTCCCTGCAGGAGGCTGACTTGGCTTTTTCCTTGCTGCCCTTCTTAGCCCCGTGCTCCCTTGAGGTGGGTGTTCCTGAGGCATCACCAGTAGACTTCTTTCCCTTCTAGCTCTCTCACCTGTGCTTGGACCACCTCTCTGTGGACCACGTTCCTGTGGTTTATGTGGCTTTCTTGTGGGTTCTTTGGCTGGTTTGATGCCTGTTCAATCCCGCCAGGCTGGTTAACCTCCTCAGCAGCCTGGTTGCTGGCCTGATCTGATCTAAGATTTCTATATGTGAAGTCCTGCATTTTGGTGACTTACAGTTTGCCTTTTTCTCTTCCAGTTTTGACCAAGGGGACCAAAACTGTTATTAAAAGAAACAGCCTTTACTTTGTATGCTAACAAAAAAAAGTTAATTTAAAAAGGAAATAGCATGCAAAGGTCACCCCTTTAGGTTTCTCTATTAAGAGCTGACAGTTGAGATTCATGGTATTTTATTCCATGTGTGCTTTAATACACACATACATGATATTAAAAGGGTACATGCATGACTTTCTCCCACATGGACGAGGAGAGTGGAGGAGTAGAGGAGAGAGCAGCAGCAAGCTCTGTTTTGAGGGAGCATGCTGTCTGGGGGACGTCGTTCTCCTTGGCACACCCACTGAATGCTTGCATGGTGTTGGGCTTGAATATCTGTGCTCCTGTAGAAACTTTAGGTAGTCACGGTGGTGAATTCCATGTGGATGAAGACATTGAGGCGAGGAGTGGTCAGCTCTGCCAAGGCATTTTACCAGTAAAATAGGAGCTACGTTTTGAATCCAAATTAGGAGAGAATTCTTGCAAAGTGGGGATGAGAGCACACCTGACATCTCAGCTCTCAGGAGACTGAGGCAGGAGAATTGCCATAAGTTTGAGGCAGCCTGGGTTGCTCAGTGAGTTCTAGGATAATCTGTGCTACACAACAAGACTTTGTTTAAAGAAAGGAAGGAAGGAAGGAAGGAAAAGAAAAGCAAGAAGACAGTTTTAAGGCTATAGGGACAAACCTATTTGTAATTTCCTATAATAAAAAGATAACATTAACAATAAAGTAGCATCAGCAGACACTTTCTGACCACTCAGTATAGGGTGGTTGTCACATGTAAGATATGCATATCATGGATTCTAATGTTCAACTATCAGAAAAAGACTGTTTCTCATAGCTATTTTATATGTGCAGAGACAAAGTCTTAGAGAATACTTGCCTTCTTTGCTCTATCTAAGCACTTTGCCAGGTGAGTGAGAACCTTGAAAGACACTGTTTTTAAAGGCATTACTGTGTACAGCATGTATTATTAGGAATTATTTTTAGTTCTTGGAATTGTTATTCAGCAACAATAACAATATTGTTACATTTTTACTGGTATTGGATGTCTATTTTACCGAGAAGGAAACAGAAACACAGTGGGTAAGGTCACAGTGGTGAGACTATAATACAGTTGTCTGGCTCTAGGGTCTGAGTGTAACACATGTACACATATGCTCTCTCTCTCTCTCTCTCTCTCTCTCTCTCTCTCTCTGTATGTCTGTGTGTGTGTCTGTGTCTCTGTCTCCCTCTTTGTCTGTTTGTCTCTCTCATTCTTCCACTCTGAAGATTTACCTTCTAGAGTTACCATCAGCTCAAGCTGCTTCAGAGAAACTGTGGGCGTGTCAGACACTGTTTATTTTGCTTTTAAGGGAGGAAAGGATTTATTTGGGATATGCTTCTGTAGCACTGTTCATCAGCAAAGGAAGTCAAGGCAGGAGCTCAAACAGGGCAGGACTCTGGCTACTTTCTAGCTTGGTTCTCATGGCTTGCTCAGTTTTCCTTCCTTCCTTCCTTCCTTCCTTCCTTCCTTCCTTCCTTCCTTCCTTTCTCTTTTTCTTCTTTTCTCCTTCTCATCCTCCTCCTTCTCTTCCTCTTCTTCTCCTTCCCTTCCTCCTCTTCTTCTCCTTCTTCCTTTCTTTCTCCTTTTTGAAGCCTTTTATTGGGTCCCTACGAATTTCACATCATACACTCCAATCTCACTCATGTCCATCTCCCCTCATACCTATCCTCCAACCCTGCGATCTCTCTCGCCAACAGAGAAAAAAAATCTCAGGTGGAAGCTGTAGTGTGTCCCCGTGTGATCCATAGTATACCCTTAAGTCCATACTTTGCTTGCAGTGACTCATTAGTCTGGTATGAGGCCTCTGGCTTCTTCTACTCTATCAATACTGGAACCTCACTGGGATTCTTCTTAGATATCCTATTGGTATCCTGTGTCATAGAGACCCTGCTCTGTAAGACCAACCCACCTCATGCACTCCAACAGTTTATAGATGGGACAGATGTTGGGATGGGCTAATTCAAAGCCCTGGATCTGGGCCTGAGAGGTGTCTGAGCTGGTCAGCCAGCTAGCTCTCCTGCTCTCCTGCTCTTGGGCCTGCTCACCAGCAGTCCTTGCAACCAAGGCCAGCTTTATCTTGCTGCCCAGGTGAGGTGCAGGACCCACTCTCCCGAGTGTTGCAGTAGGTGAGGAACAGGGCCAACTCTACCACTCTCATGACCCAGTGGCCAGCTCTCTTGCCTGACATATATGGCAAGGATGAGGGAGGGGAGGAGGGCATCTTTCTCTCCTCCATACTATTGCCCAGAAGACAGGAGGCAGGGCCAGCTCTCCCACATTCACACCCTGGGTTGGGCACATCTCTCCCTCACCACGTCACCACACAGCATACAAGTTGTGGGCTAGCTCTCCCACTCTTAGGCCCTCAGGGCTGCCTTATCCACTCCTGGGACCAGGGTCAGCTCTACTGTGCAGCTGAGATACAGGGCCCAATCTCTTGAATGCTATAGCAGATGAGGGGCAGGGCCAGCTCTCCTGCTCTCACGACCCCAGGACCAGGTCTCCATCCTGCCACAGGTGATGAGAGCTAAGGAGGGGGAGGATATTTCTCCCTGTTCCTCAGCAGTGCACAAGAACCAGCTCTCTCATACTGCTGGACCCAAATGTGGCCCCTGGTGGCACACAGGCCAGGACCCCACCATGGTCCCAGGTGATATCACCTGCTACTTTCACCTGCTGCTCACAACCCTCGACTCTCCAGTTCTGCCTCTCTTCACTGTGCCCACATCCTTCTGTTTTTCTTTCTCTTCCATTTCTCCACCACTCACATGCTCCTCTTTGTGGTGCCCAGAGTCGCTCAGTATCTGGTGCCATCTCAGGAATGCTATGCCCTGCTTGTGCATTATGGTGCAGGACTGGAGTCATCTCAGGCATGGTCTACCCCCTGCCCTCCCCCACCCTCTGATGCCAGACTGGTGGTTGTCTCAAGCTCATTTTTTTAGGCTTCTAATCCTTCAGAAGTCCATAGGTCAGAACACTGAGCATGGACATGGCTTCTCTTTTCTCTGCCACCTACTGACATCCAAGTGACACAGCAGCCAAGCCTTCAGCACTTCTAGGGGCAGGCGTAGCTTGATTTTTAACTTTAGACAAGCTGAATTTACATCCTTGAAAGATTTCAAAGTTGTTCCCAGTCAGATCACACTTGTGAAGGCTCAGGTCAAGCTGCACCTGCTGTACTTAATTTCCTCAAGAAGATGGTATTTGAGCTTGAGCCTGGTCATTCTGACTGGGTGTCCAGGTGAGGTTTTCCCTGTTATCCCCTGTGAGTGCCATAGAATAGCTAGAGAGACATTTCAAGATTGGGTCATGGCAGTCTCTGTTAAAACCCTTTGGTGGCTATCTGTTCCACTCTGCAAATAATCGGAATTCTTCCCCCACATTGCATAGGGTTTGTGAGCTCCTCTTTTACTCCCGGATTACACAGATTCATGACTCCTTCCTTACTCTGTAGACCGTCACCCCCCCCCCCCCCCCGCTTGTCTCCTTTGGTCGTCAGTTCCTTGCTGTGTAAAGTCTCCTTCAGATGCTCTTCCCTGTCTGTCCTATTTTGCCCCATGTTCTTCTGGAAGCCCTTTCTTCCCATCTTTTAAGGCCAGCATGGAGATGTCATCTGATCATGCTGATGAAATACATGTCTTCCAGACACTCCGGTCTAGGAATGCCCTCAGCATTTTCTTAACTTATGGACACACGCGTATTTATTTCTGTACTTCTTAGCCTAAAGGCAGAAAGGTCAGAATCATAGTACTGAATCTAGCACCTGGAGAAATGGGTCTGCAGACACAGGAATGATGGAAAGGATGGATTTCAGGCAGGAAGAATAGTGTTTTTGAAGATACAGAGGGGTTGAAGGAACAGGACATTTTGGGGGACATGGTGAATGTGGTTGTCTGACACTGAGCTGGTGTGGAGAGCTGGAAGAGATGAAATATTTGGTGCCGAATCCCGTTCTCGTGTTCTATGGACTGTAGACTCTAGCCACGGGGAGCCAGTAACGTGCAATAGATGGTTAAACCAAGGCAGTGTTGGACCAGAGAGAAGCCTCTTCTCTCACCGTCTCCTCTAGCTCTCCGTCTGGGGGTGAGCCAGGGTCTTCACATTTGGGAGTGACTTTTCACAACTGTGATTTCACCATAGCAGAGACACCAGCAGGTCTCAAAGAGCACCATTGAAATTAAATTTCACAACAACGGAATTAAAATATGTCAGAGACAGAAGTGTGCTTGCGTGTGCAGAGCATGGAGTTGTGTGTTAGAGCCAGTGAGTTGGGCCTGAGCACGTGTACAAGCACGGTCCCAGCTCTGAAGTACATGGAGGAGCTTCTGCTCACTGCAGGGAATCTTCACATTCGCCTGATCCCAAGTCAGTTGGACCAGCCTCTGGGGACTCGAGACTCTCAGCTGTTTGGTAGCTCTAACTCTCTGTTAAGGTGACCGTGCTGCTTTAAAGGAGGATACTAGGCGACTGTCTTGGAGCCCTGCCTGGAAGGACAACATTATTGCCCTTGAAGTAGCTAGTATTTATTATCTACCTACTTTATGGCAGGTGTATTAGGGTTCTCTAGAGAAGCAAAATCAATAGATGTAGACTGGATATATAATGCCAAGGGGATTGTTTGTCTTTATGTTGACTTACATGACATTGGCCAGGGAGGCTGAGGATGCAGTAGCTCTTCAGCCCACCAGGCCACATGCCTCCGCAAGGCTGAAGCTCAGGAGGATTCCGGGAGAGCATCTGGTCTTCTGTCAACACTGCATAGCTGAAGAATAGGGGGTTCTGATGTCAGGGAAAGATGGTAGCAACAAGACAGACACACCAACAAGAAGGCAGGCTGGTGGGCAGGCAGGCAGATAGTTGGCTCTGATTTTCCCTGGGACCTACTAACACCAGAGCTGGTTCAGGAAGGTGCTAATCACTCTGGGGAGGGGTTTCCTCCTTTACCTAATCCTTCTGGGAAATAACCTCACAAACTGCCCAGAGGTGTGCCTCTTAGTTGCAGGAGGTGAGCTAAAATGGAGGTGAGATATCACAGCCTCTCTCTGAGGAAAACATATTCCCACTCTACAGTCAGTAGCCAGTGTCCAGGAAGCTCAGTCATTCTCTCCAGAGAGTGAAGAGACAGAATCATCCTCAGGTCTCTCTGACTCAAAAGGACTTTCTTTAACCATTTGCTCTTCGTGTTGTTGTGAGGTATCGACCAGAGAAGGTGACTTGGACCAGATTCAAGCCAGTAGCATGTCTTTATTAGCCAACTGGTGGCCACACTGGGTGTTCAGTGGTTGGAAGCCTTTCTCGGGGTGAACTGTTAAGCAGAAAATCACATCTTGGGTTGACAAACTTCAGTCAGTTAGCCAGAGTGGAATTTACAGAAACCAAAAAGCATGATTGGAACATTTAGGGATTTCCAAGATTTGATAGGTTATATCCCTTTGACAGATGTTGCTGCCCATATGCTGGGTTCCAGGGCCTGAATGGTCCTTCTATCATGGGGTCAGTTGTGCTGAAGTCTGGGGGCCTGTTATAGCCTCTGTAGGGAGGAGAATGACATGGGCAGTTGAGATGAGCTAATGTTGATAGACAGGGAAGAAACTTGAGATAATTTGGGTCGGAGTAAGCTGAGTGTTAACAACATGGAGGAATGGTTTGAACGCTGATGTGATGTGAAGGCTTCCAGTGCATGGTCCTTAGTTTGTTTAGTTTATAGTGCTTGGCTGAGCTCGGCCTACGGGACGGCTCAGCACTGAGGACTTGAACAGGCTCTTGGAGGATACATGAGCATTGTCAGGTAGAGTTGTCGGGATGGCCTTGCTGGGTTTGCAAACTGTTCTCCTCCCCACCCTGTGTCGCTACTCAGCACAGGGCCAGAAGAACCTTTAAAAGATGCAGATAAAAGTCTCTGATTCCCACTCCTAACTGGTCAGTGGCTCTCTCCCTTGGGGTGAATGGCAGACTTTTTATCATAACTCGACTGCCCTGCATGACCCCCGTTTTCCTCTCTATGCCCTTAAAAGAACCGGGTTTCACATTCCCTCTGAGCCAGCTACTCTGGGTTCTTTCAAGTTATGGACTTAAAACATGTCATTTGTATAAAATTAGAGTAAGTCTCAGTGGCTGTTTAGTCTGGTTTCCAGGGCTGATGGGAGGGTAGGTGGTTTAAAGAGTTTGAACTTGACCTCATGGGTAGTAGAACACCTTTGAGCCACCTTAAGCGTAAGACTGGATGAATATGTGCAGTTAGCCTTGGGGACAGATGACCGAGTCTTACTATTGTTTTATAGCTTTGGGGCATTTTTGATCACATTGCTCTTTTGTATTCAGAAGTCAACTGTGGCAGTGTTAGTGATTTCCAGGCAGATTTCCAGCAGAAAGATGTCAATGAGTCCATGGCCCTGGCACCCCTTACCGGTGCTGTGCAGCCTGACTACACACACACACACACACACACACACACAGAGAGAGAGAGAGAGAGAGAGAGAGAGAGAGAGAGAGGGAGGCAGGCACACACGCAAGTACACACACACATACACACACAAACACACACATACACACACACAACCACACACACACATATACAAACACAAGCACACACACATATACAAACACACATACACACACGCACATACACATATAAGCACACACACCTACACACAGATATACATAAACACACACACATACACACATATACATACACATACATAAACACACACATAAACAAACATACTCACATACACACACACACACGCACACATATACATACACACACTTCTGATCTTTCATTTTCCTCCAGGATGAAAGAAATTGAGTGTCTTGTAAATGTGCTAGCCTTTGCCACAGTTCCCTGAGGTTTGCTCTGGTGACACTCTAACATAATCAAACCATGAATGGCCTTGGTTGAGTTGTCTGTCTTTTCATCTGCTCTCCTGCAGTAGTGATGCCCAGCACTCCGTAGGGTCAGAGGGCCATATGGGAGTTTGTGCTGCTGCTGATGGAAGGCTTGTTTCTCTAGGTAACCATTACCTAGGCTGGTGACAGTTGGGTGTCCCCTCTCCCTGATTCATGCCTGAGGCTACCAACTTGCACGGACAATGAAAGGAAAACAGTTTTCTCTGTAGGGAAGCAGAAAGAGTTGTTAATATCTGTTGAGGACAACTCATTTTCTGTTTTCTGGGAGGAGGCAGACCTGAACCACAATCTTCTGGCTGAAAACAGTTCTTATGAATCTGGCAAACCTCACAGGGAAAAGAAAACGCCCTGGCTTCAGGTCGTTACGCTTCCCATCTTCTCTGCTGCTCGTTGCATTTGTCTTGTTGCTTTAGGGGTTAGGAATTAGTTCCTGAAGGCTGTTCTGACGACTCGGAATATTGATGTGGAAACACAGTGTATAATTAGCTTCAGTCTCTAATTGGCCACCAGGCCCTTTGCTCCTTGAAGCTGTTTATTTACTTTATATGTATTTCAAAGAGAAGGGCATGAGCATTGAAATACCCAGTGACCAAACACAGATGACCCTTTCTGTGACCAACTGCCATCTATCCAGTTGGGGTGGGACATTACTGATGACCCAGAAAGGCTCTTGTTGTTCTTCTCCAAGTCTTCACCTTTCTTATACCTGAAGGAAACCACTGCCATATACACCCTAACTAGAGACAAGCAAGACCTCTGGTCACCAACAGTCCTTACCGGAATGGTGGGTCTGTGACACTTGATGGCACCAAATTAACAGGTGACAACCCCCAGCTCCACCTTTGTCTCTTGTTGATGCACATTCCCTAGAATCCAGTGAGAGCTTCCCAGAGAGTAGGCTCCCAGCCCCAGCCTCTCTGTCCGGTGTCCCTTCATCTCCTCTTCCTCCTAATCCCTCGACAGTCCACACTCCATATCCCCTTTCTCCGTTCCTTCCTTTGGGTTGAGACTCTGTTGTTGCAATGGATGTTGCTTTAGTCCTTTACTCTGTAAACTCAGTTTTACTTTCTTTGTTATTATTTTGGTGCTTATAGAAGAAAGTGGTGATGGTGGGCATTTTGACCTAGGTCTTGGAACATGATAGCATTTTTCTCCCTTGG